TCATGTCGGAAAAAAAAAAGAAAACCTGGTTCGGTCAGTAACCACTAATGCACTACCTTCTGTTCCTCTTCATCCAGCAGAAAAGTTGTTCCACACACCGAGTTGCTCAGACAGGGAGAAATGACTTGGGACTAGACCTGTCAAGTATGGAAGATGTGGTACACTCTGAAAGTTCATGTCTTGAATGGTTTCAACCGTTGCACTGGCAGCATGGGGCCGAGCATTACCACTGTGCAAAAAGACAGAATTCCACGTCGTTTGGAGGTGATTGGGCTGACAGCATGCATCATCTTAGTGGATCTTTATTCCCTATGAAGTTCTAAAGGTTTCACTCCTTCAGTAATGGAAAATTGGATAACAGAACGCTGCTCCTATTTGATGCATTTTCAAACTTTCATTATAACGTCACCGTGATCGTCTGCACCGTGACGTCGCTTAACATGTGAGCATCCTTAAAACCAACATACACAGGTTACAGACAGAATATGGGTGATGCGGACTCGAAAGAAATTTGTTTTCATTTCAACAGAGCATAAGAACAGGGTCACTACTACAGGATTAGGTACACAGCTACCTAATCCCACATCCTAAACCAGTCAAAGATCATTCCAGACTTAAAGGTTTCAGGATTATCCCTCTACAAAATACTTTTGGCAAGGTGCAAGTGAAGATTGTTGCTTTTAAAATGCAAACATTTTTGGAAAGGGATTGCCAAACTTGAAGATCCATGTGTTAGTATACTGACATTTGCACATGACATTCTTGCATACAAACGAGCGACAAATAGATTATGGTAACAATGGACATTGAACAAAGAATATTGTTTACAATGTTCCAGCAAATGATCCTCTCAGTGATGCATTATGGGATTTGAGTGCTCAACATATCAAATAGTCAGCTGATGTAACTTGATCGCATAGAGAAGGAAGCCATGCGAGTGATTCTGTGATACACCGGGGATACTGCATTATGCGATACATATATACGTATATCTGCACTGCCAACTATTGCAGACTGGCTCAAAATGCTGCTAGCGATGTCCTGGCTTAGAGAAGTAGCAGACAAGAAATACTTGTTGCACAAAGCTCTAGATAAAGCTAAGGATCACAGACTAAAAAGAAAAAGGTCCTGGGTGGCGCAGACAGAAGACACAATTAGACAAGTGGGAATGCTTGAAAATTGTCAGTGAGGAGATGAGTGGGTCAGAGTGGTCGAACAACACGCAGACTTGAATCAAACTGGGTCGGAAGTGCAGGAACTGAACAGAAAATTTTAATTGTAACAACTTATTCAAGATAATTCCCACCGAGGTGATGTGATTATCTATACTGATTGCCCTCTGTTGAGAGGCAGAAGAAAGGCAAGGTAGTTTATAGCAAAAGCTAATGGACGACTCATAGCGTAACAAAACTGGCATATTATATCCCATCAAGTCTGAGAATGGAGGTAGAGACGGTCACAGCATCCTTTTGATGGTTTGAAAATAAGCTGCACACACACACACACACATACACGTATACATACACACATCGTTTCAGAAGTTCAGAGTAATTAGCATTCCTTGGATATTTTCTCCAGGCCAGGCAGGTGTGTAACGAACCGAACAGGCGGACAGACTTGCTGGCTCTGCACCATTTGGTGGTAAATTGGTACATTTTTCTAACAGTAAGATAGATATTGTCACGGCTCTTTGGGAGGAAGTAAACAGTCCAAAGCCACATATATCTTATAACGATCTGAAAGGAGTGTTGCAACGGGGAGCGTTTAGGGTAGCGGTATATTTAGCAAATGGGCCGTAGATCATCGTTTTGTGTGTGTTGTATTAAAGATTTGATCTATCTATGTTGGAGCTCAGGCATCTAGCCCCTAGCGAACCACATGTTCACAATTTTGGCCCCTAAGTAAACTTATCTGAATAAACCTGCTCTAAGGAGATTTTACTTATTGGTACCATCAGAAATGGAACTCTTTGCTGGCTGCTGAAGATTGGGTTGGATCACTTATGGGAATATCCCCAGTGCTATTATGTCGGTTCTTAAAACTCAGCTCAACATAACAGACAAGTGAAAAGACAGTGGTATGGTTATTATGATTACACATTTAAGGTTTGCATTTGAGGCCTTTTGGTACTGGTAATATCTACAGGAATGAACACCGAGGGCTCCGAATGCTAAAGAAGGAGAAGAAGAAGAATTTGAAGCCTTCTGGTACTGGTGAAATCTGCAGCAATGAACACCGAGGGCTCCGAATGCTAGATAAGGAGAAGAAGAAGAATTTGAAGCCTTCTGGTACTGGTGATATTTGCAGCAATGAACACCGAGGGCTCAGAATGCTAAAGAAGAAGAAGAAGAAGAATTTGAAGCCTTCTGATACTGGTGAAATCTGCAGCAATGAACCCCGAGGACTCGGAATGCTGAAGAAAAAGATGAAGAAGAAGAATTTTTAAGACTTATGGTAGTTACAAGCGGCCTAGAAGGTGTAACGTGGTATCCTTACTTGCGTAGAACTGCAGCTCACACCGGACTGACAAAGCTGCTATGGGTGCTCCTATATACTTGGAGGTTCAACAGGGTCTGTGGTTTAGTCCCCGTTTGTCTACCATTCGACTTGAGATTTAATATATCTCCGGGTGTCCAACTTTCACGTAGTAGCGTGGAGAGGAATAATGGTGAGAGACAAAACTGAATAGCTAAAAACAAAATCATCATTTCGTTTAAAATGTGTGGTTTTTGTGTGGAAAAGAGAGTGTGGGGGGGGGGGGGGGGTAGGGAAAAAAGAGAAGGGTGGGGTGGGGATTTACAGAGTACATATGTTTCGTACTATCAGTAGGTCGTGGTACTATTGTCTCCCCGGTACGCCTAAAGGCATAAAAAAGGTCCTTTTACTTTGTATGACAGGTCTTGGTAAGAAATGACTGGGCTACCAGTAACCGGTCCTACCTGTCTTCTGATAACGCCGAACGCTGGACTGCGTATACCAAACCTGACATCCCATATTGTGCGCACAGCTTCGGACAGAGGAGCGCATTGGGGAGAATACTAGCCTTATCCTAGGAAGAGCAAGTGCAACCTGAAAGTGGATCTCATTTTCTTCTAGATAAATTATGCTTAGACGGAATGACTTCAGTAATTAATGTGAGTGGAATATTTTGAGTCTAACTGGGAAATCACGTGAATTGCTGATAAATCTAACTGTAGAATTGTAGAGAAAAGCTGATAGTCTAACTTCATGTGAAGAATAATTATTCACGGGGGTCACACAAAAACTGCTGGCCAAATGTAATTCGTGTAAAACGGAGAACACGAATTCAAAAGCACGAGGAGGGCATTAGAAGGTATATAATTCGCATTTTCAATAAAACAGCAGCACCTGTGCAATTGTAAGTTATAAGACACACAAAAAAAAAAAAAATGTCGCTTCTCCACGACTTCAGGCTTCTTGGGCACACAGGGCATTCGGTACTTGGTTGGTGATGTGGTCACTATCAAACCGATCGACTTTACTTTACAGGACTATGGCTTAAGGCTGGTCGACCTCGGAGATCATTTTCGAAAAATCTCCGGCTCCCTCAGGACCCGAAACTCCCGATTTTCTGATCCACAGGCGAGTTCTAGCCTCTGCACCACAGAACTGCCTTACAAGATCACAAGGACAGTGAAAGTCTAAGGCCACATGCCAACATTCGTGTTGTTTCTGTGCGAGTTTTCAAGAAATGTTTAAAATGTGAGAGCGTGACTTTTGAAACACAACTTAGCATCATATGTTCGATGCGTCCTTGGCGGGAATACGGCTCTTTACTATCGCGCCGACTTTGTTGATGCTCTTTGGAGAGACGTGAAAATGGAACGATTTTGGAGAGCATCGCTGCTAGGAATGTGAGAACTAGGAGTAAAGTTGGACACAGTCAGGCTCGAAAGGCAGACCGGACATGCCAGAAGTCGGGTCAGCCAGCTCAGGACTGGCACTCTTAACAGCAGGATGCGGGTGTATGAATGAACTCGATCGGTCTCATCCTCCGTTCATAGGTTCTTACCTAGAAGCCCAGAAAACGCAAGATGCGCCGACTGTACGTCGCTCTTTGCAACCCATTGGGCCTCTGATGCTAAGCTCCATACAACTGAAAGAGTGAATGAATCATGAACCGACATCACTGCACTCGTGACATTCTCACAAGTGCTTCGTCTCGTTGCTCTCTTGGCTTGCTATTTAAAAAAAGTATTTGTAAAATATCAACAATAAAAAAAAAAAATCGTCACGTTGAACCAGAACTTCTGATGGGGGAGCTTTAGATTATAATTGTGACTAGGTTATTGCGCTATATAAAGTGTGGGATCAGAGCCTCTGTGAATGTGTCCCGAGTGCAACCAAGGTAACCCAGCTGCTAACACGGAACTCTGTGTCTTTTTTTAAATAATATTTTGTTATATTATGCATTATCAAAGTACAGAATCAAAATGAAATGTGTGAACTGGTGGAGGTTCTGGAAGGACAGAATGGAAATCGGATCAGTTGATTGGCGTGTTCCAGCCGGGCTACAATCTAAACGTTTACCGCCTTGATGGTCGAAAAAAGACTTCAGACCAACAGGGAGATCCCACATACCTATTCTAACCTTCAAAGAAGTTAAAGCAAAGGCACTCGTAGCTGCTACATTAGCCCAGTGGACCCTGTAGTCTCGTGTCAGCAAGGCTGGCCGGAATTTAAAAGGAGTTGCTGGATGGGGTAAATATAAATATGTGTGCGATATTGTCGTTATCCATATGGACGTAAGATAACGCATAGCACTGCCCAATGTGCGGTGACGTCGATTGTGATAACAACATACTATAAGTTTCTGGAAAACGATGCCGAGGTCGACCACTACAAACGTGGATACAGGCCATTGAAGAGGCACTGATTATGAAAGCACATTGAGCTGGAGAATTGGCTCGAGGAAGAGAGACTTTCAACGGACCTGTTGATTGATTGTTTCACTCTGCTATGTGCTGGTCTTTCAGGTGATGAATGTTGTCAGCCACTCAATCGCCAACATCTTCAAGAGGCTTCTCGTCGTTCTCCTGCTGTCCGCCCTAGGAACTCGAGAACTGTCAGTGAGCAACTACCTGGGGCTAGGTATTGCACTGGCTGGGCTGCTTATCCACACACACGGGAAGGTAGTTGCAGGTAGGGATCTCTCTACAATAGTACGGGTTGGTCTATGTCGTCATAAAAATGGCAGTTTTTATTATCATCGTTGAGCCATTATCATTATTATACCATTTTTGTCTTCACACAATGCATCTCCTTCTTCTTCTTCTTGATGTTCACTAGTTGAAATCTCCAGTGGAAAGTTTTGGTTGTTTGTCCACCTATGGACTTTAGTTTGTTCCAGAGTTTGCTACATCCGTTTCACAGATCTGGATTATTTGTACGCAGACTGTTTTGGTTCCACCCCTATCTCAGGAAGATGCACTCAGAAAACAACACACCTAATCAGTCGACTTTTACGACATGCTTGTCAAAGTAGCAGTGGATTTATCCCCCCCCCCCCCACCCACCCTTCCAAACACACACACATACATACATATGCTGGAACCAATCCCTGGAACACACAGTCCATGACACCCTAATAAGATCAGTGCTCTTTCGGAGCAAGTGTGCAGTGGAGAGGTAGACGTTTACCGCGACAGCGTGGAAAGAATGATGTGGCGAGGAGAGACGAGAAGATCCAGCCGGCATTTGACACTCAGGGATGAGGTTTGGCAAGATGGACCTAAAGTAGACTTTTATTAGTACCATCGGGTTTGGAACTCTGTGCTTGCCTTTCAAGATGGATCATCATCCTCTTTATCGCGTGCCTTGCCGATCATGCCTCTCCACAATCTGCGATCTCCCGCTGCATGTATCAGTTCGTGTGCTGACACACCTCCATGCCATGCAACAAGACTGTCAAAAATATTATCTCCGTGTCTTCCTTTATCCCTCCTTCCACAGATCTTTTCAATGGTCACAACATGTTCTATTTTCCCTTTTCTCATAACATGGCCGAAAAATGATGACTGTCTCCTTCTGATGTCTGTGATAAGTTGTCTTCGGGCTCCCGCCTCTTTCAAAACCTCTTGGTTGCACTTTTTGGCTGTCCAAGGTATTCTAAGCATATTCTTCTGTAAAACCACATCTCTGAGGCCACAAGAAGTTGTTTGGCCTGCCTACCGATTGTCCAGGATTCACAGCCACATGTTAAAACTGGATGTATGTAGCGTTAAGAAGAATATCTCTGTGACTTCTGTTTTTTAACTCGACTCAACAAACTCACCAGTTCATCATTTCAAGTACTGCAGTTGCTTTCATCATAAACATGCAATAAGTTGTTTGTAGAACTTTTCTTTCATCATCATCGTTGTCGTCATCATCATCATCATCATCGTTGTCGTCATCGTCGTCATCATCATCATCATCGTTGTCGTCATCATCATCATCACACAGCAAGACCTTCAGAGAACATCGCTCTTGCGACGGCACGCCTGACATGCTCTCGGATCAACATCACGGTAGTAACCCACAAGTGCTCCGTTCTTTCGTCTAACTCAAGTCTGAGTCCGAAGAAGCTCAGCACAGAGCACAGGCTCTGTAGCACCGGCGAGGATCCTGAAATACTTTGGGTAGTTTTGTAGCTCCAAATGTTGCCCGGTCAGCGCCGTTAGGCTACTCTTTTCCATTTCCAACTGCCAAGGGATATTTTACGTGCGTAACAATGCCTACAGGCGTCCGATCTCACTACACAGAGATCTGTCGGAAATAGTGGAAGTCCAAGTCCACGTGATAAAATCCTAGCCCTTACCAGGGATTGAACCCGGAACCTCTAGCGCTCGAGGCGTACACCATGCCTCGAGACCACGCAGCCTCCCCCCCCCCCCCCTTCCCCGTTTAGCCATTAGTTAAAGGATGTTTAGTTTTTAGTTAGATAACATCAGAGAAACTCTACAACAGCACGATGTGCCTATGGTCGAGGCAGCCAGAAGAGCTAGAAACAGAACCTTATATCTCCCACGACACCCACAGCGGTAAAAGAGGAAGTGAAGAAAAAGGAGTCTTTAGTTCTAAAATGTTTAGCTTTATGGTTATAGAATGTTTAGTCTTTATTTATAGGACGTTAAGTCTTTAGTTATAAGATGTTTAGTCTTTAGTTATAGGGTGTTTAATCTTGAGTTATTGGATGTTTAGCTGTATGGTTATAGAATGTGTAGTCTTTAGTCCCAAAATATTTCTTTAATTCTACAATGCTTAGCATTTAGTTCTAAAATGTTCATTGCGTAGTGCTTGCGCGTTTGATCATAAAAACTAGAATGTTTAATCCACCGTAACATGGGGTTTAACGTTAGTTATAGAATGTTTGGCTTATAGTTATAGAATTTGAAGCTTTCAGATTTAGAATGATTAGTGTTTAGTGATAGTATGTTTAATTTTTAGTCGAAGAATGTTACCCTCTAATTCCAGGATAGGTTGTCAATTGATCCGAATTGCATAGTTTTTAATCCTAGAAAGTTTAATCTTTAATTCTACGATGTCATGTCTTTAGCTCTGGAAAGTTTAATCTTTAGTTCTAGACTTTCCTGTCTATAGATCCCAACCGTTTAGTCTTTTGTTCTCGGACGTTTAATCTATAGTTCTGGAAAGTTTAATCTTTAGTTCTAGACTGTCTTGTCTTTACATCAAGACTGTTTAGTCTTTTGTCCTAGAACATTCAGTCAATAGTTCTGGAAATGTTAAGCTTTAATCCTGAAATGATTAGTCTATATTTTTAGATGCTTAGTTACAATGTTATGTTTTTTTTTTTTCCTTAAAGTGCTAGTTTATTTGTTCTGGAATGGACATAAGATTGTTTCTGCCTACTTACAGAGAACGTCAGACGTGAAGGGCACAAACGCTCTACATTCACGGCTCTTGTGTTCTTGGCTTTGTTCGCTTCGGCAGTTGTAACTTTATCTGGCATGTTAACATCTACAACTGGCCGACTACCAGCTGCTGGGCAACTCGCAGACACAGCCTTCAGCTCAGAAAACTACGGCCTACGTAATGTCAGAGACGCTCTTACGGAAGAGTCCCACCTCGTCGAAGCTGAAAGTGACCCAGATTTGCGGGAGTTTCTATCATGGCGTCTGGTGGACCATCCTGAAGAGACCGACAAGAGATCCAAGACGCTGACGACCAGCAGGGAAATCATAGAAGAGGCGCAGAGAATTCTGGCTAATCTGTTGGGAGATCTGATAGGCACAGCTAATCACGTGATGCTGATTGACGTTCCTGTTTTCGAAAATAAAGGTGATCCGGCTATAGCCGCGGGAGGGGTCATGCTTATGAAGCGTCTAGGAAAGACGATTGTGTACTATTGCGAGACATATTCCTGTCAGAACAACACACGCTTAAGGGAAGCCTTACGTGCCAGTCGTAGTTATCGAAAAGACGATTTGGTTATCTTAATGAATGGAGGTGGTAATTTAGTTGGATATCCACTAATGGATGGAATTCGAACGAAATTCATTAATACTTTTCACGACAAAAAATCTATTATTCTCACTCAAAGTATATGGCTGCATGGAAACTATTCCGCAAACTTGGATTTCGCCCGTAGTGTTTATTCTAACAGACCGAATTTGACTATATTAATAAGAGACCGACAGTCTTTGGAAATAGCCAAGAATAATTTTAAGGGAGTTAAACTTATTCTTGCACCGGATATGGCATTCTGTATTGGAATGACACCACGGCAAATGCCGCCATTGTATGATATTGTATGGCTGAAACGAAATGACAGTGAAGGGACAAATTATACCCTTCCAAATGTGCCGACCAATATTTCTGTAGAAATCAGTGACTGGTACAGCTGGAAATCAAACAAAGGGCCTAACGACATAGAAACTGCATTTCACTTTGCCGGCGAGGGGTTTCAGTTTTTACAGAGAGGTCGAGTGGTCATCACAGACCGACTGCATGGACATATTCTTTGTTTGTTGATGGACATTCCACACGTGGTCATTGACAACCCGCCGTATCTCAAGTTGTCTTCGTTTCACAGAACCTGGACACAAGGTCTAGAAAACACAGTTTTAGTCAGCAACGGCTCATTGGCTCTGGAGTCTGGGTTAGAGTTGCTCACGCGTTACGAGAAGTGGCTACCTTTGATAGGATCTAGCTATAAGCCAACAGGTGGCTGAATTCAAGAGACCTTGCAACAACAACAACAAAATAATTCCTATGTCCTTTTAAGGACGACATTTTTTTGTTCTTTGAAGCCCCACCCTGGCTTTTGCCAGGGGCCGCAATATAGGCAGGCCATACATATGGCCAATTGTCTAAACGCGGTTTCTGGGACCTCTCCACGGCGATCCTCACCCACATGGTGGCACTTTGTGTCATCGGGTGTTTGATGCTTGTGTGATGTTCTGGTGGGGTAGAAAGTCAGTCAGTCAGTCATACGACCTTGCATAGTGTGTTTCTGTTCAAACTGTCGAATAGAGGCGTCTCCGTGACCAAATGGTCGAGCTGTTTGCCTCGCGCTGTCAAGGTCGTGTTTTCTGTTTCCCCTGTTCAGGCAAGCGGTTCACTGGGATCCCTGAAGATCGTCGCTGGAGCTACGAAATTCGTGCACTTTGCGATGCTCTTGGCAGGCGGTTAGCTGTTCTGCAAAGAGGGACGAGACCATATAGGATAAAACCAGGTGTAATCAAATCGACCTCTCGATCTTAACTTTAACTACTGTGAACATCTCCGATAATGGAGTAATGATGCGCGAAAACAGACTCCGTGTCCCTTAGCTTCTCTTGCTCAAGCCCTCCCCCACCTTAGCATGGTAGACCTTGTTCTTCACAGTAATACAGTGAAAAGTCGAGGTTTGAACCCTTCCCTCCAACCCACCCCCCCCCCCCCCCCCCCCAGCGAGCAAAATGGTTGATAAAACAAACGAAGTAAAGGCAAAATCCATAACACGCGTGTCTGGTACTACACTGTGAGCCGTAAATTACACCCAGGATGCTTATAGCTTGTGCTCCCGAAGATTTGTGTTGTAGATTGCATATTCAGGAAATAGAGGGTAGCTTGTTGTCACAAAATTATTGTGTGCCTCATGCAGTAATGCGTGTGCACCTACTAGTTTGAAATTACTGCTGCTTCCGTCAACTATAAAAAGCAATTCCAGTGAAAGTTGTAAAGTGTGTGCACACATGGAGGCTACGTTATCCATTTGATGCAAATTCGAGTGCTCGATTTTCCTGGATACTTGTCCGTCTGACTTTTCACATGGGGCACTGATGGGCATTTTATAGTTTTACTGGAAGGGACACGAAGATAGTACGGGTGAGTCGTTTGCGGTGAAACTGGAACCCCGACTGATCTCCAGATAGCATGAGAGTGAACATTTTTACGATCAGATAACATAAAGAGAGCCCTTTTGCCTATATCTCACTTGACATGCCATGCTCAAATTTATGGGTTTTTTTCTACTTATATCTCAAATAACATATCATACTCAAGTTTAGTGTCTTTCTTTTTTCTGCTTATATCTCAAATGGCGTGCCATACTCAAGTTTAGTACCTTTCTTTTTTCTGCTTATATCTCAAATGGCCTGCCGTACTCAAGTTTAGTACCTTTCTTTTTTTCTGCTTATATCTCAAATGGCGTGCCGTACTCAAGTTTAGTACCTTTCTTTTTTTCTGCTTATATCTCAAATGGCTGCCATACTCAAGTTTAGTACCTTTCTTTTTTTTTTCTGCTTATATCTCAAATGGCTGCCATACTCAAGTTTAGTACCTTTCTTTTTTTCTGCTTATATCTCAAATTTTAGTACCTTTCTTTTTTTTTCTGCTTATATCTCAAATGGCTGCCATACTCAAGTTTAGTACCTTTCTTTTTTTCTGCTTGTATCTCAAATGGCGTGCCATGCTTAAGTTTAGTACGTGCTTTTTTTCTACTTATATCTCATAATAAATGCCAGCCTAAAGTTTAGGATATCCTTTATTTTAACTCTTTTAATTCCTATGACATGCCGTGAGATAGTTTCTACCGTCTCGTTTTCACACCAGCGACGTATTGATCATATAATGTTTGTCTCATATTTCTATCAAACCTGCAGTCGATCTGTGATGTGGTCAATAACAAAATGTCGCCCCTACTTCCCTGGACATGTCATGATAACCAGTTTAGGCAGAGTCGACTTTAGAAAGTAAGGTCGTTTCTAAAACTCCATGAGCGTGGATTCAAAACTCACACATTCAAACCAACAGACAAGAGTCTAGAGTCTAGATAATGCACTATCACGGCCATCTACGCGAATGCAGAGTGGATCGATCGATCGATCTGTGTGTCCTATCTAGACGGCCACCCAAACGTTTACTATGCCATCCTGAGATTTGAAATCCCAATCTGGACAGCAAGCTAATAAGGCAGATCTCAGATACCTCGTTCAACATCAACTGAAGTTATAATTAGGAAACCCGTGACGACAACATTGGCGGCGTAACCTGCGGGCAAGGACACTGAGTGGGCATTCGTTTAACAAAGACCAGAAGCCAAAAATAAGGGACTTAACAAAAATAGTTTAGCAATTTGTAAATCAAAAGCGGTGCCTTCCCTTTAACTGAATGCTGGTAACCATTGGTTATATATATATCTCAACGAGAGACTTGCCACCCTGCGTAGGAGTTTATGCATCTACACAAATCTCGGTATTTTATGTTCTGGATCAAATTCACTGATGATATTCCTTCATGCCACCGTCTTACGCCATCCGCCATCGTTTCTCTTGGTCTGCCTCTGCCTCTTCTACCATTGATGTTTCCAATCGCCATACGATTATTGTTTGCCATCCTTTAAAGGATGAAATTTTTCGTTATTTGAAGCCCCACCCTGGCTCTTGCCAGGGGCCGCAATATAGCCAGGCCATAAATATGGTCTAATGGCTGAACGCGGTTTCCGGGACCTCTCCTCGGTGATCCTCACCCTAATGGTGGCACATTGTGTCATCGGGTGCTAATCGCGTGTGTGATGTTCTGGTGGGGTAGAAAGTCAGTTAATCGTCATTAAATATTCACCGTCCTTATTAGGATAAAAATTTTCGTTATTTAAAGTCCCATCCTGGCTCTTTACGGGGGATGCAATATAGTCAGGCTATAAATATGGCCTAATGGCTGAACGCGGTTTCTGGGACCTCTCG